TGTTTGTATAACTTCGTATTTTGAGAATATAGACTCGTTACAGAAGAATATGCAACAATATATGGTAGATTCAACACAGGGTGTAGGAAGTTTGACTGCCATTACTTCAGCATGAGATAATCATAAATGAACAAAAAAGTTGTATATTACAGGGGCGCACAGTGGGAAATATTGGACAAAATTCTCGCCACTCGCCAATTTTCATCGTCTCGTCGTGAGCGCCCCAACCTCAATGTCGAAGAAAAAATTTTTTAATATTTTTTAATTTTTTTTAGATAATATTTGATTCTCCTAACTCCTGAATTTGTGGTTAGGTTAGTCTACCAGGCTTCATTGCAAATTTAATAAATGGTTAGTAATAATAAGCCACAATAATGTTTTACGAACGTTTTTGGCGATCGCGATGATGAACACTCAACAAAAATACATTTATACTTTTTATCAAAGAAAATAATTTTGTGACAATTTTTTTCATTCTAATGATTTGATTTGACAATCTTTCCAGTTTTGAGGTTAGGTTCTTGGGTTAAACTGTCAGATTTGGGTACAGTATGACACAAGGTGTGCGCTCTCGAAAAAACTGTTGATCGAATCTCTGTTCAATAAAGATATTTTTAATTTTTTTTATTAATCCTTAATTTAGTGAGTTTAAACATAGTTAATGTTGGTTTTGAGGTTAGGTTTTTTAGATTCAAATTCATGGATTGGGTATAACATGTTACGTAGGGTTATATTGAATCTATTTCGTACTTTTGGCATGTAAAAATACTTTTTTTCCCAATGTAAATTTCGTTTAAGGCTTTTAGGTTAGAATTAATAATTTTGAGGTTAGGTTTTTGAAGAAAAGATATCAGATATATCATCAAGGGTCATAATAATCAATTTTATTAATAGCAGATACTTTTTAAACATTTTTTTCTACAACTGAACATCGCATTTAAAAAATTTTTCTTCGACATTGAGGTTGGGGCGCTCCCTAAGCGTTAAAAAAAAAGGTTTTTTTGAAAAAACCTCACCGGAGTATGAAAATTCAGATTACCACGAGATTATTAAAAAAAAATCGCGACGAGACGATGAAAATTGGCGAGTGGCGAGAATTTTGTCCAATACTGTGCGCCGTAGCCGACGGCGACGGGGTTAGCAAAAAACAAACAAAAGCAGAACTTGAACTGAAGCTGAGCCAGTATTTAGAAAGCGATGGGACCTGGACCTTGGGAAGTCGCAGTATTATAACCAGGGACGTACACCTGCCAGCACATGTGACGTGCGCTAAAATCTATCCTTGCGAGANTCAGAGGCGTGAATAATTTTTTTAATTGGTTAATTGATTTATGAACAACAGAAATATTGTATTTGGATAAAATAAATTTAATTTTTTCTGATAAACATTGTATATATGGTAATGCAATATATTGAGAATTAACAGAGATTTGATCAGAGACTATGGTTTCTTTTTTTCTTGATTTATTATAGAAAGTAAAAATTCTTTGTTTAAGAATTTTATTAAAAAACTTGGGTGGATAATTGTTATTTTGTAATATATTTTTAATTTTTTTGACGATTTTAGGTCGGTAAATAAAACTGGTTAAGTTCAATACTCTATTAACTCAGATATGCCTAAAACTAAAATAGCCAAATAAATGCAAAACAGGGTTTATATTTATTATTAAGGAAGTAAGTGAAACTGTTGTTTACCAAAATATCATTTATTATTCTTTCCGTTTCCAAGAAAAATGGTGTACTATATATAGTACGCTAGGAAAATAGCAGGTAATTACATTCACTTAGTATGATACATAATAAAACATTTCACATGCACGCCCACATTACATTTCTGACATCTCGTGGTTGTGCGATCATGGCACAACCCACATCTTGTTTGCTTAGGTTGTGGTACTACCAAGTGATCTTGACGATCATATCTTATACCAAGATTTTCAAATGCGGATGGTCGTCCTCTTGAGAACGATGCCTTTTTTTTATTCTGTGATAACAAGGCTGTAGCGATGCTTCTCCTAAATTTTAGCTGATCCATTTCACCGCCAAATTTCCGATGTAGATGCCAACCATTTTGAATCGCCAAATCAATGCAGTGGGCAATAAGGGGGAAATACCATTTTTTTCCCCGTATGGAAATTCTGTAGAGTCCAATATTTTGATCGGATCTGTCCACGCCACCCATATTTGCATTGTACAAGTGAACTAAATGCGGCTGTTCAATCTGCAAACAAAAATGTTATTACAATATTTATTTGTCTTTGACACATACACACTATTTTACCTGAATATTTTTGTTTTCCTTGCGAGAAAATCGTTTTGCATAGTGAATCGGGTTCACTCCAGCACAATTTGAAGCCAAAGAAACCAAATTGTTGTCATTCCACTTAACTATAAGTATATTCTGGTCTATGATTTTTGCATAATCATATGAACCACGATTTTCTTTTTTTAGGATATTTTACTCAACCAATGGATTATTAGAGATCCGATTTTCTCTAAGGGTACCAGTACTATGAAAACCCATTTCTGCGAGTTTCTCCATAAGCGGGATTGTTGTAAAAAAGTTGTCAAAGTATATATGAATTTTCTTGTCAGGCCATTTCTTTCGAAGCACTTCAGCATACTCTAACACTACCGCAGGACCCACGCCGTAATCACAATATTTCTCACTTATGTTTGTTAAGGCACCTTGATAAGGTTCAAACCAACTTACAAAGCCCAGCCTGGTTGCCCCTACCCACAGTTTATATCCATATCTAATGGGCTTTCCGTGAATGAATTGTTTACAGCCATGCCTTCCGAAATAAGGAACCATGGCCTCGTCGACGCAATGCATTTCTTCCATAGGACTTACTTCTGTAAACTTTTTATTTAGATGATCAAACAATGGCCTTACTTTGGAAAAACGATCAGATTTATCTAGGGTTTCGTTATCTTTGACATGAATGTTCGTCAAAATATATTCAAATTTATCTCTAGTGATGGCTTCCGACACAAGAGGGTTGTGGCCGTCTTTTTCTCGTTCCCAATATATTCGTCTTCTGGGGACACATACATATCCACTTAGCACCAAAACACCTATAAATGCTTTTATTTCGCTTGTTGATATGTTTTGCACATTGTTTTTTCTTGCAGTGTATCTATTGGTTTCTAAGACTATAAGATCTAACAGATCTTCGTCGAAAAAATCTTGGAATAACTCTAGTGGAGATTTCAAATTTTCAATCTTTGGAATATCACTATCTGAAGTAAAGTCGGAGTTATTTGTAGGAAGATCTTCCTTAATCCACTCATATACTTTTTTTTTCTTTGATGATTTCTTTTTCGATTTTACCGAGATCAATCGAGCTAACGGCAGCTCATCTTCCGACGAAAAATCGTCATTATTGTACCGTTTCAAATTTATTTCGGCAGGAGCTTGAAGCTGTGATGCGGGTAAATTACTCATCTCGACCACATTCTCATCACCAGAGTCCTCATCGGTGATGTCCCCTTGCGGAGGAAATATAGTTATGTCATTAGTTTGTTCTAAAACATCGTCTTGATCTTCTAACATGCTAAGAGCCTCATTTAGCGAGAAACCTCTGAAATCAATATATAATGCCATTAGATCTCACACGGGGTAATATCATCCTAGCTAATCATATCTAAGTAATATTTTTCGGTAAATACTGCCGCGAGATTATTCTTTAGATCCTACAGTCACACTCAAAATTCTATAACAAAAAGTAGTATATATGCCTAGCGTACTATATTTAGTACATCAAAAAATAGGTCCAAAAAAAACAACTCAAATGTCATAACCTTATCATAAAAGTACATATTTTGGCTAAACAATAAAGTAATGGCATATATTTATTTATAGTTTTTAAAACAAGTAATTTACTTACCTTGCAAATCCCACACCGCAGTCACTCATTTTTGGATTAGTCACCACTTTTATTTTAATACTATAGCCGCTGTTAAGTCCGAAATACTGCACAAACACCTGTACACTTTAGGGGTTATGTCAAAAATAATATTTTAACCACGCCAAATGTAAGTAACGACATCTATGGTCGTGGATCATCATTTTATTGGTGTACTATATTCAGTACGCCAGACACATCTGGGTTAATAGCAGATACTTTTTAAACATTTTTTTCTGCAACTGAACATCGAATGTAAACATTTTTTCTTCAACATTGAGGTTGTGGCGCTCACGACGAGACGATGAAAATTGGCGAGTGGCGAGAATGTCCAATATTTTCCACTGTGAGGCGTAAGATTAACAGTTTTTTCAAAATACAGCGAGTATTAATATTGGGGTTTAATCACAACATGACAACAGTGCTTAACCTAACTACACAGCTGGTGCATACCACGTGTGCACGCGGTAGACTTGCCCTACGGAAAAATTGTAAACAACTATTATTGTGAAACATTTAGTAAATTTCAAGTTTTTAAATAAATAAAATAAAATATATTGATTTTGTAGTACGAAGATAGTGTTCTGCTTTAGGTACTTACCAAAAAGCAAAATCCCGTAAATTTTTAACGCACAAGTGCAAAATAAACTACAACATATGCTTAAAATGTCCACCACCATTTTCGCGCACTCACTGGATAACATCTCAAGAAAAGAAAATAGTGGTACGCAAAAAACACTCAGACACGATCCAATTCCAGATACCAACTGGATTCCGTATTGCTGGACAGCTTAGTACCTCGTGTTATCTGCCGCGCCGTTGTCATATTGCTCGATATTAATTTTATCGAGTTTTAAATTTATTACATCGCTAATTATTTTTTAGAATTAAGCATAAAGAAGTTAAAAAAGTGATAAACATTATATTTTATGGTATTCTATGCACGCAGTTATTCCTTAATTAATCATCAAACTTTTGTACAGCAAGTTGGAGATTTTGATAATTTTTTTCTTGGAAATGGTTTAGTTTAGAACCTATGTCATATAAGATTTTTTTGTCTATTTTAATGTATTCTATCTTTTTATTGGCTTGCTCAAAAATGGCAAAATAGTATATCGTTATATTAGGATTGAAGGTGTAACTTTTGCAAAATTGCGAGACAAAAAATACACTTTTAATCCGAATAAAACATGCTATTTTTTCTCCAACCGAAATCCCCCATTTAATTATTAATTTGTGCTTTGAATGTATTCAAACCAAATTTAGATAACAAAGCAAAGTAGATAAGTAGGATATTGATGCTGTCATGGATACATTGTCATTAGTCACCATTTTGCTAATTGAGTGCATTTGTGGTTCAATTTGCTGCAAACTTAATAAAAACAGGATATAATGAAGATTTAGGTTTACCTGAGGAGATACTGGAGTGTGCGAAAGAGGTTTCTTTGAATCTTCTCCCAAAGAAATCTCGAGAAATGTATGAATGTGTCTGCCAACATTTTATGGATTGGTGCAGAGAAAAAAACATCAATACATTGATGGTGTATTTCTCAAACTTAGCAAATAAAATGAAGCCGTCAACGATTTGGTCACGATATTCACTGTTGCGGTCAACGCTGGATATAAAGAAGAAGATTGATATAAGCAAATATTCAAAGTTACGTGCTTTTCTGAATAGACAAAATGAGGGAAATGTACCTAAAAAATCGCGAGTATTTACAAAGGAGCAAATTGATTGCTTTTTGAATAGTCCACCTGAAAATTATTTGTATATGATCATGAAGGTAAACGCTTTAAAAATAAAAGAAAAACATTTTTAAAAAGCTTCTTTATATGTCGTCCTAATATTGGGGGTTGCAGGCGCATGCCGTTCTGATGAATTAGTCAATTTAACAATTGATAATGTGAATATGTGAAATCCGCCTTAATTATAAAAATTCCCAATATCAAAACCAAGAGACCACGTTCTTTTACTGTGGTGGAAGACAATTGTTTAAGTTTTTAACGAAAATATGATGCTTTACGTTCACCCGGATTGGTAGAACATCGATTATTTCTCATATTTCTCAGTGAAAAGTGTCATCGAATGGTGGTCGGTATTCATAAAATCAGTGCCGTTTCGCAAGAAATGGCAAAATGTTTTAAGCTGAACAACTGAAAAGAGAAAAGATGAGCGGATCCTTTCAAATGGTTTTTGAAAAATTGAAATCGGTTGATTAGGACAGCCACAGTAAATTTTAAAGTTAACACTCTTTTTTTATTTTTAAACAATTAGATTATATTTATCAATTTGCAATTTAGTTGTTTTCTAACATTATAATTTGAAAGTACTCAGAAAGACGCTCCTTTAAAAAAAAAGTTAAATTCCGTTTATTGGTTCTCGAGATATAAGCGGTCAAAGTTTATCGGCATTTACCGTTAATTTATAAACAATTTAGCAATAATCTTTGATCCAATGGCTTCGTTTTTCCGAGTTCTAAGCTGGAAAATATTTCCATATCCATAAGTTATCGGCAACATAGATAAATCAATAGAAAAGCTGTCGCTCCCACGCCCGAAAAGTGACTCAAAACACGAAAAGTGGGGGAGGGGGTACGAAAGGTACGAAAATAATTGCATTATCTTGGCTTCTAATGGACCAATTTAGATCTTTTTTTAATCCGATGTCTCGCAAACCAAGGAATTCGAATATCGTAATGCCATCTGTCTAACTTGCACATATTTTGTTATAAACAAAGTTTATTATTTATGCATTAAATATACTGTACATTTTACCCTATGCTAAAAAGAGTGTTAAGTTAAAAAATTTACTGTGGCCGTTCTAATCAACCGATTTCAATTTTTCTAAAAGCATTTGAAAGGTTGAGCGGTCTTTTCTATGTGAAAAAATTTTCAAGTATCTGGATGCTTTATTTGAGGCTGTGCAACATTTTGAAAATTCGAACATTTTTTTCTAAATTTTTTACAAAAAATTATTTGCGAAAACTATAGAACCGATTTTAATGAAATTTGATGTGTTGTTTTATTATACTCCAAAGTTTTTTTTACCAAAATTAGAGTGCCCTCGGAGCAATTAAAATATTTAAAAAAAATTATCCAAGAAAACTTGAGTATTTTGCCCTTTTTTTCATCAATTATTGCTATTTTACAACATCGATAATAAATTTAAACATTTTTAACTTTCAGTATATTGTGCAAAATTCAATTCTAAAACTTTTTTTCCTCTTAAATATTCTTCCAAAATACATAGGTTCCAAGATATAAGTAAACAACTCAGATAAAATAGGTATTTTTTAAAATTTTCTAAACACTTTTGCAATTTTGAAAATGTTCCGGATCTCGCCCAGACCTAGGGATCTACACTTTTATTAGGTATGTGAGTTGTACTGAAAAAAATTGCTTGCCCCCTCTCACATTCACCTCAAAACAGATGCTCCCTGGTCTATAAATACTAGCTGCGGCATTAAATTTTGCACTTTGCTGCATAGCTAAACAAATAACTATTTATTACTTAAAAAGTTTTAGTGACGGCGAAAATGAATGTTAAATATAGGTCCGCATTTCCAAATCCATTGAATGCCCCTCTTAAGCAATGTTAGTCCTATTTCTATACAATATGTCATATGTATTATTTGGGGTTAATCACAAAAACATATTATTTGAGCCGTTCCGCTCCGCTGGCGGCTAAAAAATGCTGGCAGCGTTTCTTTTGTGGACTCTGGCGAACAAAATATTTGCTTTTATTATTTCCCAGACAAAGCACATCTGACACACAAAAGGTCCGCGGAGCCTCGAGTGTTTTTAAGTGTTCTCCGAACGGAACAGCGTAAGCAGAATCGCACGGAGGCGAGTAAAGAGTGCAAATCCAATCGTCAAGGGTGACACTGTCGATTAATCTGATTGTCTTGTGCTGCGGGTTAGAGCTCTCGGTCCAACGTGTTGATTCAAAGCGATGCCTATTGAACCCAGAAATGGGGCAGACCGATGGCCGGGATCCACCCTTTCTTTGTACTTTGTTTGAAGTGACGTTAATCTAGGCGACCCACCCGGGCTGTGTCGCCAGTCGCCCTGGGATTAACATTCCAATATTCGAATTCGACCTTTGACTGATTAATGATATGAGTATCCAATTCCGCTCTCTGTGAGCCCACCCGAGGTCAACTTTTGTTCGAGTCTGTGATGCATAGACGAACGTATCTCTGGCCGCTAACGATGCCGGCAAACCTCAAAAAGGGACTGTTTAAAAGTTTTTTTATATAAGGTGATTCATTAACAATGGGAAAGTTGAAAGCTGAAGATACTACACATAAAATGGTAGCCATTGGCGCAAACATGCCTTATCCGAAAGTTGATAGTTTCGGAAATACAGGGTGTTGAAAGTTAAAATTTTAAATAGTTTTTTTGTGATCTGAAAATATGTAGGTTAGGAACTTGAAAATTTGTGAAACTATATTTTTTTAAGCGACGAATAAGATGCGCGTTGCAATTTCAGCGTTGCTCATAGAGGGCGCCACTTACGACCAATTTTACCGAAAATTTAGTTAATAACTTTTTACCCTGTATATCTAACATGAAACTTGATTCAAAACCTGAAAGAGCAATTATTTTTCCATTAAATATGTACTCCTGTTTCATTTCGGTAACTCGATCCGTTTTCGAGAAAAATTGATTTAACGAACACTATGTTTTGATAATACGAGAAATTAAAAGGAAAACAAACTAAGTGTTTCTTCATGTTTTTACAACAATTAATAATAAAACAAATGAAATACCACGTAATAACGATTTAAAGTAATTGTTCGAAGAATCCACCGTTGACACTGATACACTTTACACAACGTTTTCTGAGAAATCTTCGAGTTTGAAACAACNATTCCGCTCTCTGTGAGCCCACCCGAGGTCAACTTTTGTTCGAGTCTGTGATGCATAGACGAACGTATAATCTCTGGCCGCTAACGATGCCGGCAAACCTCAAAAAGGGACTGTTTAAAAGTTTTTTTATATAAGGTGA